GTCAATTCGGCTGTTGATACTTGTGCATGCTTCGTGAAGTTCTCTTGTTGTGTTTTCAGCTCCATCAATTCACTTATATTCCTTTCTATTTTGTCCATTCTCGTTAGAATTTCGTCAAATCTTTTTTCAAGGTTCTCAGTTTCTTTGCATTGAGTTCGAACATGTTCTTTTAGTTCACAGAAGTTTCTTACTACCCACCTTCTGAAATCTGATTCTGTCATTTCATCACACTGGTTCTCCATCCAACCTTGTTCCCTTGCTGGTGAAGGGTTGTGATCCCTTGTAGGAGGAGAGGTGTTCTGGTTTCAGGTGTTTTCATCCTTTTTGCGCTGGTTTCTTCCCATCTTTGTGGATTTGTCCACCTGTTGTCTTTGTAGTTGCTGGCTTTCAGATTGGGTTTCTGAGTGGACTTTCTGTTTGTTGATGATGAGGTTATTTCTGTTTCTTAGTTTTCCTTCTAACAGTCTGGCCCCTCTGCTGTAGGTCTGCTGAGGTCCACTCCAGGCCCTGCTTGCCTGGGGATCACCTGCAGCAGCTGCAGAACAGTAAGGGTTGTTACCAGTTTTCTTCTTTGCTATCTTTGTCCCAGAAGGATACCCGCCAAGTGTCAGTCTGATCTCTCCTTTATGAGGTGGCTCTTTGGATATACAGGGGTCAGGGAGCTGCTTGATGAGACAGTCTGTTCTTTATAGGAGCTCAAATGCCGAGCTGTGAGCTCCGTTGTTCATTCAGAGCTACTGGGCAGGTACGTTTAGGTCTGCTGCAGCAAAACTCATAAACCGCTTTTTTTTCCCCAGATGCTCTGTCCCAGGGATTTAGGGCTTTATTTATGGGTTTCCTTATGCTGCTGCCTTCTTTTTTTTTCCTTCAGAGCTGCCCTGCCCAGCAAGGAGGCAGCCTAGTCACTGTCTGCCTGCAGAGGCTTTGCTGAGCTGCTGTGGCCTCCGCCCAGCTGCCGAGTGAACTTCCCTGCAGTCCTGTTTATATGGGTGTAAGTAGAACTGCCTCAGCAATGGTGGCCCGCCTCTGTTATGGTGGAGTCTCTCTGTAGTGGTGGGTTGCCTTGGCAACAGTGGGCTGCCTCAGTAATGGTGGGTTGCCTTGGCAACGGCTGACTGCTTCAGTATTGGCTGACTTCCCCCGTAGTTTTGGAGTGCCTCGGTAATGGCGGACGCCCCTCCCCCACAGAGCTGGACCGTCCCTGGTTCAGCTGCGCTTGCTGTGAAACTCTCAATCCAGAGAGTTTCTGATTGCTGTTCTTTTGTGGGGGTGGGACCAGCCGAGCCTGATCGCCTGGCTCCCTGCCTCAGAGCCTTTTTTTTTTTTTTTCTTTTTTTAGTTGAACAGTCGACTCCCAGGTGTTCCAGTCACTTGTTGAAGAGGCGCCGGGATCTGTGTGTTTTCCCATGTGGCGTCTCACTGCACTGGCTTAAACAGCAGCACTGAGATTCGTGGTGCTTTTTTTGCCCTGGAATCTACTGTCCTGGTTCCCTGTTCAGTCTCCTTTTTAAACAGATGAATGAGCGACTTCCCATGGCTCCAATCGCCAGCCAAAAGGGCACCCAGACCAGTGTATTTTGTATAGAAAACTGCTGCGCCGGGGTGCTGACAAAGCAGCCATGCAGGGCAAAGCAGCAGCTGTAGCCAACGCAGCCGCGCTGGCCGAAACAGTGGTGCTGGCGACCCACGGAACTCCTCCGCCTGGGAATTTCCTAGTCTCTCGGCAATAAAAATGAGGGGTTTACTCACCCTCTGCGCTTTCACTGGGAACTGCAATCCTGAGCTGTTCCTAAACGGCCATCTTGGATCCACCCCCTAGTGTAACCTTTTCTTCATCACTTCTCCAGCATCTGCTCTTGTGATCCATACTTTTCAATAAACTACTTTCACTGGAATATTTTCCTCAGAGTTTGTTATGGGAAAACCGAACTCTGTTACTACACTTCCTCTCTCACCTCAATTTTCTCATCTCTATAATGGGAACTTTAACACCTATTTTGAATGTTTCTTCAAGAATTAATGATAATATCCATAAGCCATTTAGTCAATACCAGTGAAATAGTAGGCAAGCTAGAACATATTAGTTGTTTTTATGTCCATAGAACTTCTAGTTTTAATGTTGAAGATAAGAAAACATGAATAAGAATTAAGTAGATTAACTAACTTCTTTTTTTTTACTAGCTTTATTGAGACATAATTGACAAATAAACAAAAAAATTGTGTATATCTAAAGTGTATGAGGTGTTGTTTCAGGATATATATATTTACCGTAAAATCATAATATATTCCTTAGCTCACATAGTTACATTTTCCTTTCACTTTTATGGTACGAACAGCTCAGATCTAACTTCTTACCAAATTTCAGGTATACAATAAAACATTTTTGTTTACTATAGTCACCTTGTTGTACACTAAATCTGCAGAAGTTACTCATCTTGCAAAACTGGCCAAAAGAATGTGATAGTTCTTCACCTTCTTTACGCCGTCACACAATGACTATCACAGTCAGTGACTTTTGTCTCTTAGCTGACTCTTCAGAACATTCTAGATACACCACCTCAGAAGTTGGCATCTGTCTTGGAAACCTACATTGTTAGCTCATCAGAGGGATTTTTACCCGTCCCATGCTGGTAGGAAGTCCCAAGATGGTGGTCCAGGTCCCTAAGTTTTCTAATTCTCTCCGGGCCAGTATCAATCACTTGTTCCATGACTGAATACTTGGGTTGCATCATCAGTTCAGGAACAAAAGTACCAGTCTTCCATCTATCGGGTCTTCCATGAATGAGAAAGTTCTGCCACTTTTCCTCCTTCTTAAATTCTACTGATTTCCCTGGAAATCAGAAGAATTGGTTTCTTTAGATGCTTCCTATTTGTCTCACAAAACTCAAAATGTTGTTTTCTACCTTTAGTCAGCACAGAGATTATGGTTTGTGCAATGCCATACATGCCCACTGGATAGTCCCTCAATCCCCAATTATTTTTTACTTAATTTTCCTAATAACAATTTGATTTTAGGGACAATTTGACTTAATGTTGCTTAATGTATTGTGCACATTTTAGAGGAAATAAATTTCATTTTGTTTTGTCAACAGGTATTCAGGAGAAGGAAGCCATATAAGAATATTATTTACATGATATAAATCCCCAAATGAGACTTCCATGCTGGTAGGAGGTGCCAAGATGGTGGCCCAGGTCCGTAACTTTTCTATTTCTCTCAGGGCCAGTATCAGTCAATCGTTCCATGACTGAACGCTTGGGTTGCATCATCAGTTCAGGAACAAAAGCACCAGTCTTCCATCTATCGTGTCTTCCATGAATGAGAGAGTTCGGCCATTTTTCCTCCTTCTTAAATTCTATGGATTTCCCTTGAAATCAGGAGAAGGAAGCCAAATAAGAATATTATTTACATGATATAAATCCCCAATGAGACTCTTTTTCATGGGACACCATGCGTTCTGACAAACGTTTGATGCAGATTAATTGAATAAATAGTTGGTCAGAGGCAGAGAGGAAACAAGAGCCACATTCAGGGGAACTATTAAATGCAGTCCCTGTTTTCATACCATGTAGCTATTGCTCACTGAGGTGTGGAAAACTAATTTCGGAAGACCTTTGTGAACAGAACAGAAATGTTATCTGCAAATATGAGAGATTATACCGCCCATGTTCAATGAATTCAGTGCATGTCTTGCTCTTACTGAATCCCAATATCATTTCTACTTTACTGAGAGTTAAATAGGAGTGTTCTCAGGCAGAAAGAGAAGATCTCACCTTGCACTCGAGTCTGTCCTATATTAGCTGCATCAAATCACACATTAAATTGTTCTCAGCTGAAAAATTGAGGTAATAACACATAAGCATCTGTTTTTCAACATGGATGTTAAGTATAGCATGGGATATGTGTGTAAATTCCATTTAAGCAATTCTGTAGAATAAAACGAAGCACCATATGAGATGGAGGATGGCTCAGAATTTATTCAGAAACATATACGTAAGAATCTCTGCTATGAGGCACATAGTCCAGAGTTATCATAAAAAGAAGAAAGAAGTGTAAAAAACCATGAGGAGGAAATTGAAAATGAAAATATGATTGCCAAGGTTACATATCCATTGCAGAAATCTAAATTTCTGAGAAGCAGAGAATGAAGCTCTTGACTTTAGAGTCAAAGCTGAGACCATGACTCCAATTGAGGACACAGGAAGCCGGCCCATGATCCCCAAAGTGTAAGAAGAAGAGAATAAGGACGAAGAACTCTGCCCTCCCTCAAGCTGATTCACAACATTTTAAACATGCAGAAAAAAAAAAAAGAGACAGAAATTGGTGAGAGCATATTGTCTTGGAAAGTAAAGATGTTCCCTGAAAGATAAGTCATTTGGAGCTGGGCACGATGGTTCATGCCTGTAATCCCAGCATTTTGGGGGGCCAATGTGGGTGGATTAGTTGAGGTCTGGTGTTTGAGACCAGCCTGATTAACATGGTGAAACTCCGTGTCTACTAAAAATACAAAAAATTAGCCAGGCGTGGTGGAACAGGCCTGTAATCCCAGCTAGCTGGGAGGCTGAGGCGGAAGAATTGGTTGAACCTGGGAGACAGACGTTACAGTGAGCCAAGATCACGCTACTGCACTCCAGCCAGGGTGACAGAGTGCGACTCTGTCTCAGAAAAAAAAGTCAGAAGGTTGTTGTGTTAGGATGATGGTCTTTGGCAATGCTGATCAGCACCAGGAAGGTTGGCAGCAGCTGGACACACAGGTGGGCTGGCAGCAGGTGGTCCTGCAGCAGGTCGTCTCACAGCTGGCTGGGCGGCAGCAGGGCTGGCAGCAGCTGGTCACACAGGTGGGCTGGCTGCAGCATGTCACACAGAGGGGCTGGCAGCAGGTGGTCCTGCAGCAGGTGTTTTGACAGCAAGTTGGGTGGCAGCAAGGCTGGCAGCAGCTGGACACACAGGTGGGCTGGCAGCAGGTGGTCCTGCAGCAGGTGTTTTGACAGCAAGTTGGGCGGCAGCAAGGCTGGCAGCAGCTGGACACACAGCAGGAGGGCTGGCAGCAGGGTGTGCTGCTGCAGCTGGTCACACAGGTGGGCTTCCAGCAAGTGGTCCTGCAGCAGGTGGTCCTGCAGCACGTAGGCTGGCAGCAAGGGGAGCAGCAGTGGGTCATGGTGTCAGGGGTGGAGGGTGGGCTCCTGTTCAGAGGTGAGTTTCCCAGAATCTGGTGACTCCTTCCAATCTGGGCCTTTTATACACGTGGCCTCCAAAGTTTCCACCAATCAGCAGGACTTTTCCTTGTTGCTGTTTACATTGTTTTCCACAGTCCGTTTGGGATTGTCAAAGGGGAAGTTGTTTTTAAAATCTTATGAATCTTTTGAAGGTAAGGGTTTAATCTGTTTCTTAATTGTGAATTACTCACAGAAACTTTGTTTCAGATAAAAGGAAGCCCATGTCATCACTAGCATGGTTCCTGCTCTGACCATCTTCTGGTCATGTGATAGTTCCTGGTGACTGGGGAGGCTCAAGTTCTCTCTACCAACCTCCTTCCTTGGCTGTATGTAGATTGGGAAGTGTCTGTGGGGAAAAGTGTGATGCTCATATTTTTACAGTGACCAAAGGAAGCCATGTCTGTGCCCAAAACTGCTCAGCTACCAAAGTCTGATTCAAGTCTAACAGGCATCTCTCTGTAGAACACGTCACCCGTGTCTTTCAGTTCCACCAAAATCACTTGGGAAGAGGGTGTTTGGCACCGTGTGTTCTATGTGGCAGAGCAGAATTGAAGTAGGTGGGAACAAGGAGAAGTCCACTGGGATTTAGATAGCATCAAGCACTCTTTGTCCTGGGGTGACCATTCATTCTGATTTGTCTGGGAGTGAGGGGCTTACCAGGAATAGAATGTAGGACTTTCTCTGACATAACTGCTTTAGATTCAGACCAACCAGCATGAGCCATGTCTCAGCCCTAATCCTGGTTAACAGCACAGTCAGTGCCATTTCTTCTGTATTTCTGTTCATGAAGGAATTAAGTTAGTTGAGACGACACCTGATTTGTCTGGAGTTGTAACATGTTTAAACATTTTTCAGGTACATGATTCATTTAGGAAGAATGCCAATTTTTAATTTCTGACTTGAGATTGCTTTGTAAATGCATCTGATTCCATTACCAGGTTAGGAAACAGAAATTAATCCCATTCCCTTTAAATTATATTCTCTTACTCATTATCCCAAACAGATAATCCTTCTATCAAGTTGTAACACTGTAGTCCAATTTGGCTTTTTCTTTTTTACTTCTGTGTGAATTAAAATGAGAATATTTTCTTCTCAATTTCTTTTGCATAATCAAAAGTAATAGTTATTGCCCTGTCATTTTACACTCTTCATGTCAGCAGAGCAGAAGGCAAAGAAGAGAGTTCCTATTTGGTTAGGAGTAATTATCCTGAAGTCAAAGAACTTAGGGGAATCTATCTGTAGCTCGGGAGATTTACTGAATATATTAATTTACTAGCACTGCCATGATAAAGTACTACAAACCAAGTGGCTTAAATTTATTTTCTCATAGTGCTGTAGGCTAGCAGTCTGAATTTCAGGTGTGGACAAGGTTGTTTTTGCCTGAAGACTGTAAGGAACGTATCTGTTCCTGGTCTCCCTCCTTGACTTGTAGATGTGTGTCTTCTCCATGTGTCTCTTATGTTAGCTTCCTTCTAGAAGCACACTGCCTCTGAACATCCTCATTCTAGACAAGCATCAGTCATATTGAATCAGAGGCCTAACTGATTCCAATATGATCTGATCTTAACTAATTACATTTTCAATGACTCTATTTGAGTATGAATTTGTGGAGACACAAGTCAACCCATAACACTGATGAATCTCCTTGTGTGTCCATGCCCGGCGATAACCACCAATGAGTGAAAACAGCAACCACATGGACAATGGTACAGTACCAAGCAGCTCAGACATTTCAGGAAGGAAGTTCTGGTTTACTCCTTCAGGAAAGTACATAGTGCAACAAAGGTGCTGGACAGTGGTGAAAGAAGTATAGAAGTTGTGGTAATTTGTGGAGATGATGAGTCTCAGGTGCACCTTATTATAGTAGCCGTAACTGTTCCTTGTTCCATTGGCCTTCATTTTATACATCTCTCCCCCTCCTTTCTTTTCTTAGGTTTTCAGTTCCTTCCTTCCTCCCTCCCTCCCTCCCTCCCTCCCTTCCTTCCTTCCTTCCTTCCTTCCTTCCTTCTTTCCTTCCTTCCTTCCTTTTTTCTCTACCTACCTCTCTCTCTTCCTTCCTTTCTTCCTCCCTTCTTTCCCTTCGTCCTTTCCTCCCTCCTTTCTTTCTTCCTCTTTCTTTCTTTCTTTTCCTCCTTCCCTCCCTCCTATCCTCCCTCCTTCCCTCCTTTTATCCTTTTTTCCTTATTTCCTCCCTCCCTTCCTTCATTCTCTCTTTCATCTTTCTGTCTGTCTTCTTCCTCTCATCTTCTGTTCTTCCTCTTTCTCCTCTTCCTCTCCTCCTCGTCTTCCTTCTTCTAGAGTTTGTGGTTGCTTACCACATTTAAGAAGCAAAGATTGGGTCTGTGAGGAGCAAATGGTAGGTTGTAACTAAGATTTCATCATCCCACCCCTGTATCTTGGATCTCAGTGTACTCAGATCAATATGCGTTTGCCAGAATCTGCATCTCTGTGCCTAAGGGCTCTTGTATTGCAACTGAGGAAGGTGAAGTCACCTGTGCATGTCACACAGAGAAATCATTCAACCAATGATTCTGGACAGTTGATTTATGAAGACCCTAACTTTGTCCTTCCTGAAGCAGGACAATTCTAATTTTTTTTTTTTTTTTTTTTCATCATTTCTGACAATTTTTTGTTTCTTTTAAGCTTAATTGGTCCCTGTGATACTAATTTATTAGTGTACCCTTTTCTTTATCACTTCTCCAGCCTCTACTGTTGTGATTCGTACTTTTCAATAAACTACTTTCACTGGAATATTTTCCTCAGAGTTTCTTATGGGAAAACCAAACTCCGATAGTACACTTTCTCTCCCAGCCTATATTTTCTCATCTCTACAGTGGGAACATTAATACCTACCTTGAATGTTTCTTCAAGAATTAATGATTATATCCACAAGGCATTTAGTCAATACCCATGTAATAGTAGGCAACCTGTGACTTATTAGTTGTTTTTTTGTCCATAGAACTTCTAGTTTTAATGTTGAAGATAAGAAAACATTAGTAATAATTATGTAGATTAACTAACTTCTTTTTTACTGGCTTTATTGAGACACAATTGACAAATAAAAATAAAAATTGTGTATGTCTAAAGTGTATGAGGTGTTGTTTCAGGATATATATATATTTATTGTGAAATCATAATATATTCCTTAGCTCACATAGTTAACAATTTCCTTTTCATTTTTATGGTGTGAACAGCTCAGATCTACCTTCTTAGCAAATTTCTTGTATGCAATAAAACATTTTTGTTAACTATCGTCACGTTGTTGTACACTAGATCTGCAGAAGTTACTCATCTTGCAAAACTGATGTTGGTCAAAAGAATGTGATATTTTTTCATCTTCTTTATCCCATCAAACAATGACTATCACAGTCAGTGACTTTTGTCTGTTAGCTGAGTCTTCAGAGCATTCAAGATACACCACCTCAGAAGTTGGCATCTGTCTTGGAAACCTACATTGTTAGCTCATCAGAGGTATTTTTACCCATCCCATGCTGGTAGGAGGTGCCAAGATGGTGGCCCAGGTCCCTAACTTTTCTAATTCTCTCGGGGTCAGTATCAATCAATTATTCCATGACTGAATACTTCATTTGCATCATCACTTCAGGAACAAAAGTACCAGTCTTCCATCTATCGTGTCTTCCACGAATGAGAAAGTTCTACCACTTTTCCTTCTTCTTAAATTCTACTGATTTCCCTGGAAATCAGAAGAATTGGTTTCTTTAGATGCTTCCTATTTGTCTCACAAAACACACAAGGTTGTTTTCTACCTTTAGTCAGCACAGAGATTATGGTTTGTGCAAAGCCACACATGCCCATTGGATAGTCCCTCAATCCCCAAATATTTTTTACTTAATTTTCCTCATAACATTTTGATTTGAGGGACAGTTTGATTTAGTGTTGCTTAATATATTGTCCACATTTTAGAGGAAATAACTTAATTTCATTTTGCTTTGTCAACAAGTATTCAGGAGAAGGAAGCCGTAGAACAATATTATTTACATGATATAAATCCCCAAATGAGACTCTCTTTCATGGGACACCATGCATTCTCACAAATGTTTGATGCAGATTAATTGAATAAATAGCTGGTCAGGGACGGAGAGGAAAAGAGATCCACATTCAAGGGAGCTATTAAATGCAGTCCCTGTTTTCATACTATGTAGCTATTGCTCACTGAGGTGTGGAAAACTAATTTCGGAAGACCTTTGAGAACAGAACAGAAATGTTATCTGCAAATATGAGAGATTATACCACCCATGTTCAATGAACTCAGTGCATGTCTTGCTCTTACTGAATCCCAATATCATTTCTACTTTACTGAGAGTTAAATAGGGGTGTTCTTGGGTGGAAAGAGAAGATCGAACTTTGGACCTGAGTCTGTCCTTTATTAGCTACATCAAATCACACATTAAATTGTTCTCAGCTGAAAAATTGAGGTAATAACACATGAGCATCTGTTTTCAGAATCAAATTGGATGTTACGTATAGCATGCAATATGTGTGTAAATTCCATAGCAGCAATTCTGTAGAATAAAACAAAGCACCATATGAGATGGAGGATGGTTCAGAATTTATTTAGTCACACATAGGTAAGAATATGTGCTACGAAGGGCATAGTCCATAGTTATCATAAAAAGAAGAAAAAAGGGTAAAAAACTCTGAGGAGGAAATTGAAAATGAAAATATGATTCTGAGGATTATGGATCAGTTGAAGAAATCTAAATTTCTGAGAAGCAGAGAATGAAGCTTTTGTCTTTAGAGTCAAGGCTGAGACCATGACTCCAACTGAGGACATAGGAAGCTGGACCATGATCCCCAAAGTGTAAGAAGAAGAGAATCAGGACAAAGTACTCTGCCCTCCCTCAACCTGATTTACGAGATTTTAAACATGCAGAAAAAAAAAAAAGATACTGGTGAGAGCATACTGTGTTTGAAAGCAAATTTGTCCCCTGAGAGATAAGTTAGTTGGAGCCGGGCTGGG